ACACATATATAATGAAATAATGCCAAACCCCAAACTAAAGTATTTACAAGATAGTCCCTTAAGCATAGTTTGTCATATTGCAATTACACCTTGCTTACTGCCAAGTCAAAGTGCTTACTGTTGCCACTAGGGGGAGAAATGTCTTAACACAAAGCAACTGCAAATAGGGAATGAGTTTTCTTGAGCAATTATCAGAACAAAGCTCCCTTGGCTGTGTGTACCTTCTAATTACTCAATACAATTAAAATGACTAACCTAAAACAAATAGAAAAAAAATCTGCCTGCATGATATCAGGGACTTCATTAAATCCTTTCCCCTCATCAATCAAATCAGAAAGAAGGGAATGCCATCATATGCAAACATTACAGACAGGACTATTAAAGGAAGAATATTCTGTGTTTTGTTTTTTAAGGAAGAAAAGAAGCGGCTTTCTTGAAAAAAGAAATGTCGTGGTATTTACCCATCTGGATGCTGCCTGAAAACAAATTGTCCTCCAAAGAGCAGAAATACAGTATGTTTTTCTCTCAGTTCATTGGCTTATGAATGACTTTTTGTTGTTGTTGTTTTGTTAATACACACTATAATGTTATTTTCTGTGTCAGTGATGTGCTGCTTCCTCCTACTCATCCAACTGTGTAGAAGAACTATGCCAGTCAGACTTCCATGCTTCTACTAAGCTATTTGAAGTTTTTTTGTGGCTACACTCCAGGCAATGTTTAGAACAACATGTGAATTTGGGTGTGTGTAAAGAGGTGGAAGAGAAATGGAAGGCAGGGAAAACTGCTACTTATTCCTTCTAAAAAGACTTGAGTAGTTTCTTTTATAAGGCCCAGTCATTAACAGAAGATGACAACAGAGTCATTTTTCTTTCAGCTGACAAATGTGACATTTTTCCAGCAGCGCGCAAGGTGTTGAAAACCTGGCAGCTGTTACCTCCTGGGATGAAGATACTTTTTTATCCTCCCTTGACAGTTTAACTCAGTGGGTCAGCACCTTTAAAGACTGCAAAGTATCCTTGAAGAGGATGGAAGCTTGAATTACTGCTCCCTCCCTAATCAATGTAAACCCTCACTGCAGGTGAAGTCTCCATCTATAGAGGTGCACGGGGGAGGAAAATGTAATGCCCTGAGCCAGATGGTTTTTATCTTGTTTTTAAAGAATAAAGGAACAAGCTAACAAGGGAGACAGCTACTTTGTTAGCTTCTTGGCCTCTCTCATGGCTTTGCATCCCCAGGGTTCCAGCTACACAAGAGAAAGAATACAGAAAAACGTAAACACTTAAAGAAATATAACTAGAGGGCTGGCATCATGCTGCTTTCAAAGAGTTGAGAAAGCTCTACTCAATGCTTTATTTATCACTGCCCACGTTCTCAGGATGGTAAGTGGACAAATACACAAAGGGAATGGGGGTTGGGGGAAGGATTAGACAGAGGTCACAATTTACTCAATTACAGAGAAAGGCAGGGCTGACAGATCCTATTAGCACCAATGTGAAGCAAAGAAGGAGTTGCATGTTGTAAGACTACATTTTCAAAAAGTAATGAGTACTTTCATGTATCCTCCCAGGTCTTTGCCCTGTTTGCAGATATGAATAAAAGCTATGAAAACAGTTGCTATGGTTTCCTCAGCTTCCTATTTTAGGAGTAAAAGGAGAAAGAAAGTTGTACAACCTTTAAATAAAAGTTGACAGTGCCAAGAGATGAGAAGATTGTCTTAAAACTTAAGACAATTAATTAAAAGGACATACTGCTTTTCTTTCCCTAGCAATTCTCCTGCCTTCTAACATTGGACAAAAAGCAGCAAAGCAGGTATACAAAATGACTTGGTGATGCAGGGAGTGTAGTGTTTCCTGACTCTTTAATATTTTCTTTTTTCCCTAGTCTTTGTCAGGTTTTGGATTACAATTAGAAATACAAGTCAGGAAGTGTCCTTTCATTCTCTATTTTCTGATAGAGTCTTTAATATTGGTGTTATTTATTCCTCAAATGTTTGATAGAACATTTGGTCTTTTAATAATTCAGTTATTCAATAGACAGAGCTGTTTTAACTTATGTTAGTTTCGTAAAGATGTCATTTTCAAGGAATTTGTCCATTTCATCTAATTTGTCAAATTTTTGGCTTAAAATTGTTTATAGTATTTCCTTACTATATTTTCAGTGTCTGTAAGATTTATAGTGATAATCTTTCTTTGAGCTCCTACAGTAATTAAATAGCTCTCCAAGTTAACATGTATGATCATATCCCATCAACAATGTTAAAACAATGTACTTTAGAATAATATATGTAAATCATAAAATTAGTTTAAAGTAACTAAACTTGCAAGAACATAACTGAATATTTTATAATCAATGGTGAAAGAGCTCCTGAAATCCCATTAGAAATATGTTAAAGAATCTTAAGTTAAAGAATTGGCCAGTATGATACAAATCCTATTTACATCAGCACAAGGCAGTCTTGATGTCTTTTTATCTGTGTAACTTTACTAAAAGGGGGAGGTGGGAGAAGAAAGTGGCATTTCATTATTGTCATATGCAATAGAGGAAAGTGGGAGTTTAAAAGGCTTATATATTATGTTCTACCTTTAAAAAAATCAGTGGTGGGGTAATCAAGTTCAGGGCAGTCCTGGACAGCTGCCCTGTGACCCGCTTCTATTGACCCCTGCTATTCATCACTCTTCCCTAAGATGGAGAGGGCAAGCTCCTAGGGAGTGACCACCACAATAGACAGACACAAGCCAACAGTAATCTGGTTCGGGCAAAAAACCAGATGGCACAGCAATAAATTTACAAATCTGCATTCATGGGGCTGTTAAAACACCCAGAAGCTAAAAGACTCTGAGGGCCCCAGGAGGATCTCCTACTTCCCTGTTTCTAAAGGCCATTTCTCTTTCCAAGAACACAGAGTTCATGCTCTTCACAAAGAGAATGGAGATAAAGCTCTTTACAAAAAAGGGAGGGGAAAAAGCCTCATGACCCAATTAATCTCGAGAGCTTGGATCTCAACAGTGAATGACAGATATTAGAAAAATAATTTTGGAGCACAAGGAGGGAAAACAAAAATGATTGTTAAATTAAAGTGGAGGTAGTGAAGCAAACCTACTAAAAAGCAATAAAATAAAAAACAACAACATTAAATCTCTTTCAAATACTGCACACAACAGATCTTGCAAGTAGAAAATGATTCAATAATGTATGCATTTATTTTTAAAATGAATCAGATTAGTCCCATGTGTGACCTGCTGGTCCATCTGTATGTGCTGGACTTAATAGGCACGATTCTCTCTTTGCTTCAGTTTGAAGTATGAGAGAGATAAATTTAGTTTAATTTTCAACAGATCAGCCTATCCATTTTCCAAATGGACCATCTGGATCAGCCTATTAAAATTAATTTATAACTTTGCAGAGTGAAAATTCGTTTGTTAGCTTAAATAAAGTTGCCAAAACTTTTTGTTGTGTCATTTTTTTTTTTTTTGACAGTTGTTTCTGTATAGTAGGCAGAGTATTTCCACCTCCAAGTTTATCGTATTCAATACTGGTCCATTTATTTAGATTTATAAATCAGGTATTTATCTAAATAAAGTTGTAACTACACAATATCAATTACTGATCATTTGGTTTTTGATTTTTTTACAAAGCTTTCTAAACAGATTCAATTTACAATAATAATTTTTATTAAAAAAAAAAAAACAAAAACAACAGGAAAGGTCTTTCCCCTAAATTTAATAAACAGTAAAACAAAGTGAATATATTATCGTCATGTGCAGTTTCAAGTAATTTTCCTCTAAATTAACACTGTATGCAAACTGGAGTCAGAAGGCAGAAAAAGAAATGAGATATGGGTTGCAAATCACTGACAAGCTACACAAGTCATCTAACCTAAGACTCCATTTCTTAATCTATAAATTGGAAATCATATCTAGAAACTTGACAGAATTATTATGAAATAAATACTAGGTTCCTGGTAGGCGCTCAACAAATATTGCATCTCTCTTTTTTCCTAGAATGTCATAAATGCAAATAAATTAATATTATCTTCACTAGGGCTAGTGCTCATCCAATTTTATATTAAAAATTAATAGCTGGTATACCTATTCTCTAGCAACAATGTTAAGAATTTACTTTTGTTGACAACAGGGGATAGGTGTTAAAAGCTGCTACAGGTAGTGAGAAGAGCAAAATTTTTACCAAATGTTTTTAGATGTTTTGGTTTCTAAAAGGAGAGCACCATGGAATTCAACTTTCAAAGTAAAATGTGACACTTTTTGGGAATGGGGCACAGTGGTAAGCAAACATTTTTACAGTTGTCATCAATAACGGCCTTTACTTCTAAAAAAGACAAGATTGGGACTCCCTGGTGGCGCAAGGGGTTGGGACGCAACCTATGAAGCTAACCGCAGCCTCTGCAGCACGAGTTCGATCCCCGGCCAGGGAGCAACCCACAAAGCGCAGCAGACCTCTCCTGACTCACCGGCTGCTCCCCTCAGCAGTGTATTTCAGTTGGTCTGTTTGTTCTGTTCCCCACTCTGTCTCTGGTGAATCTTCTCACCCCCATACCTCTGGCCTGTACACCAGTTCTTGTATATATAAATAAATAAATCTTTTTAAAAAATAAAATAAAAAAGACAAGATTGTTGCTCAAAAGGAGCTAACTTCATTATAGGCAGATCCTTTTATTTTTTTCTTTATAGGAAAATAAATTTTAAAATAAACTATTCTTTCTGCACTTAAGAAATATTTCAAGTTTTTTTCCTGAACAAGAAACCCTTGATTTTGTTTTTACTATATAAACAAATTGACTGTCTTATACTAGTACACTTAGGACATTTTTTAAATGATTAGGAAAACAATATTACCCCACTGGAATTGATGGCTACAGCCTGAATAATTTCAGAGTCCTCTTCATTTAAGCTCCAATACTTACTGAACGGCAAACTGAGGGTTTCCTATCTTTTGTTTTGTTGTTGGTAGCTTTTTATTTTAAGTAAGACTGAATTTCATACCTGTCTAAGTGAATTCTTCTCTGGTATTATCTTCCTAGGGGGTTCGCCATTATTACAGTCTTCTCTCTCTGAGGAATTCTGTGAAAGAAAGTAAGCTTTAATTCAGTTCTCATTATCTTCAATCTTATTCTGTGGGAGTAAACTGAATTACATTTCTAATTCTGTAAGGTAGAATACCGTGTATATTTATGTGTTTATTCATTTGAAGATTTATATACATGTAGACATAACACTTATGCAAAGGGAAACATATGCCCATATATATAAATAAAAGTATGTAGGGATCTAGGTGGAAAGTATTTAATCTATATTTAAGCACTACACAACAGGTCATATTCATTAGAAATCTAGTTTATTGCTCTTTGAAAATGCAAGTTGACATGGGACATAAGAAAGCTCCAGTCTAGGTGGGATTAAACCACGATAATCATCTTCCCTTTTAAATAATCAGTTATATACTACAATGTATGTTTGGTTGATAAAAATTCTCAAAATGTGAATCCTGAAAAACAATTCTTTCTCTTCCTCCTCCTTTCCGGTTTGATTTTCTTTCCTTTATTAAAAATAGTCTAGAACTTAGCCCCAAACAGTGTAGAACAGCTCATTGAATCAGTGGCTTAGAAATAGAGTCCATTCTTGTCACTATCCCAACGAACAGCACCTAAGAGACCCTAACATACCAATGGGATTTTAAAATACTTAAAAGAAGAAGAAAGCATGTGCACATGTTGAGGGATGAAGTTGTACTTCCCAAATTACATAGTTATGTCAATGACTGGCAAATCAATTAAAGTTGATTTTTTAAAAAGATAAAAAGAACAACAACAATCCAACTGAAAGCAAGTTCAGAATTTAAATATCAGCAGAGTAAAAAGGCAAAACACAAAATGAGAAAAAAAATATGCAAATCACATATTTGTTAAACTATTACTATCCAGAATATATAGAGAAGTTATAAAACTGAACAAAATTCCAATCCAAAAATGGGCAAAGGACTTGGATATACAAATGACCAACAAACAAATATAAAGATGTTTACCATCATTATTTATGAAATGCAAGTCAAAAGTACAAGTAAGGCTACTACTATTAAGAAGGCTAATTATTAGGAAGGCTACTATCAGAAAAAAAAAAGGAGAAATTAACATATATTAGCAAGGATGTAGAGAACTGGAAATACTGTGCACTGTTGGTAAGAACGTAAAATAATACAGTTGCTATGGAAAATAAGGTTATTCTTCAAAAAGTTAAAAATAAAATTACTCGGGCCTCCCCGGTGGCGCAGCGGTTGAGCGCTGGGTTGCGAAGCTGCCCGCGGCCTCTGCAGCACCGGTTCGATACCCGGCTGCTCCCCGGCCACCAGAGGAGGGTCCCACATGGCGCGCAGACCTCTCCTGCCGCCCACTCCTCCCCTCAGCAGTGTACTTCGGTCCTTCTGCCTGCTCTGCTCCCCGCTCTGGCTCTGGTGAATTCTCTCACCCTCCCGCGCTTCTGACTGTACCCAGTGCATGTATAAACAAAAACAAACAAACAAACAAATAAAGAAAGAAAGAAAACATGCCTCTATAAAAAAAAAAAAAAAAAAAAAAAATAAAATTACTCTATGATCGAACAATTCCACTTCTAGGTATATATCCCTAAAAACTGAAACAACAGTCTTGAAGACATGGCTATATACATTCATGTTCATAGAGTGTTATCCACAAATAGCTAAACGGTGGAAGCAACTCAAATGTCCACTGGAGAATGAATGGATAATCAAACTGTAGTATAAACAATGGAATCATAGTCACTTTAAAAAGAAAGGAAATTCTAACATACAGAACATGGATGAACTTTGAGGATATTATGCTAAATGAAGTAAGCCAGTTACAAAAAGAAAAATAGTATATAATTGCACTTATGAGATACATAGAGTAGTCAAAATCATAAAGACAGAAAGTAGAATGGTGGGTGCCAGGGGCTGGAGAGAGGTGGGAATGGGAAGTTATTTAATTTATTGTTAGAGTGTCAGTTTTATAAAAAAACGAGTTATGGCACTGAGTTATACACTTGAAAATGGTTAAAATGATAAATGTTATGTTATGTAAATTAAAAAACAAAACAAAATACCTTGTAGTCAACACACGCAAATCATTTCACAAGGCAAAATACGGACAATCCAAATTATACATTATTTGGGTTTTATTTTCCACAACTATATTTATAACATTAATATCTTAAAATTTGCAGGCAATATGCTCATTACATTACATATATCTATCACATTCTAATTGAGTTATTTTATTTTTAGATACTTACATTCTATCTGAAAATTTTCATTCATGTATGAAATTGTTAGAATAGGATCATAATTGTGTTTAAAACTAGGCATATTGTCATTGTTTTGGTTTGTATCAAATATGACATTTTAAAAAATATTAAAGGGTAAAAGGCACATTTTTAAGGCTCTTGGACTTCTGTGGCTAACATCTGTGTGCCTTGTGGTGTCACTTGTAGTTGACTTGGCAGGCCAACAAATTCCTTTGGGGTAGAAATCACTTATGATATTTGATATTTTGCATTTGTGATGATCACTTTCAGGTAAAAGTCCCTAATATTGAGACAAAGAAGAAATATGCTATGTTATAAGCAAGGGACAGAGAATCACTTCAGAGCTTTAGCTGCTTTTCCCCCCATTTTGAAAAAAAAAGGAATGGATTATCAATAAAAAATAGGGCAGAAATACAGTTGAATTCATGGCTATAAGCTCAACTATATGGCATTCCAAATAAGGACACTAGGGATACACACCATTATAAGAGAATTAAACAAAAGAGGGAAAAGGTGAACATTAAACCCATAAAATAAATTTGTATGTTTAACTTAAAAAGTATAGAATCAATGTTTTAAATGCCAAAATAAAATCCTTTATGATAAAAATGTATGCTAGCATTCTATTATAACTGAGTTCAATTCAGCCAGTATTCAATTAAAAACTTATAATTGGCAAGTAACTATTACTCAGACCATGAGCTCATCTCTTTTTTAAAGTACCATTTCAGATAAAATAAACCTATTTAATCCAATATAAGGCCCTATATATTTCAAAATTAATTATGTTTTGTTAAAGTGTCACAATAATAAACTTGGAAGCCTAATTACTTTTTGGTGAAGTTTGTTATACTGAAGAAACCAACACCATAAATCACACTTTTATTCTTCAGGTGCTTGGGATGAAACAAAATTAATGATAAGCTCTCAGTACTGAGTTTCATAGTGAAAAGTAGTTTTGAACCAGCAGGATGACTACTAACTTTCTAGCTTATACCAACAATTTTCTTCCTGCCTACTCTCTATTTCATCTGTTTTATATGGTGGACTACTGAGTGGGTTTTAAGAGAATGTGTGAGGTATGAAATGGTGAAAGGAGCTATAGAACAATAATTACCTGAGAGCAAAACAGGGTTGTAGAGGAGCTCCTTTCCTTCTCTACCCCATTAGAGTAAAGAATATATAGAGACCATGTTGTTAAAAAAGAGTAAGTCTTAACATACAAGAAAGAAAAAAAATTGTTTAAAAAACACACTTTATAGCTAGTTCTTTTTAGAGAGAATGACACAACATATTTTACTTTTGGACTCAATATAAAAAATTCAAATCTGTTTTTATATAAAATAGAGGTAAGGACATTAAACAGTCATGATATCAGGAGCAAGAGTAAGATACCCTACTACCAGTGAAGAGGAGAATCAGAATTCCAGTGACTAAGAGATGATTAGCTTTAGTCGTGAGAGCAGAGGGGAATTAATGGTATAGCCATATGTACCTAAGTGGTCAGTTCTGCTTCTCAAATCTATGTGGTCTCCAACATCACCCAGGAGAGCTCAAAGCACAGGCATTCCTTGTATTTTTATCTATAATGCATCCCAATAAGCAGTGTTCTCAATTGCCCTGGGGCATCAAGTTAAACTATGTCCAATAAGTTACATTTAAGGGTATTAAGCTGATGCATGACTCACCACACAAAGTAGAGGTGAAAGTTAGACAAATAACAGGATAGTTACATAATCTGAGAATGTTTCTCTGTAAGATATCTAATTGCTAAAGAAAAACAGTAACCTCTCATTAGAGAAATTAGCAGACACCATCTTTACATGATACCCTTGCTGATATGATGCACTGAGAAGAACACATTATTACTTCTGGGGTTAGCTTACCCAAAACTCAATCTCAATCTCATCATGAGAAAATATCAGAATTAGTCCAAACTGAGGGATATACTACGAAATATAATAAGTAATTAACAAAATGTTAAGGACATGAAATACAAAGAAAGACTAAGGAACTTTTACAGATTCAAAAAAACCAAAAAGACATGACTGAATGCAACTTGTGATCTGTGAGATAATTTTGGGAGATAGAGTGGAAAGCAGAAACAAAACTGTTGGTAAGCTCCTCTATACTAAATTATACAGTGGAAAAATAGTGATCTAAGCCTAATAGGAATAATAACTAGTCACATCCATAATATTCTTCCTCTTGACCTTCTATTTACCTGATTATCATAGGTTACTGAGTATATATTATGCTATAGTGGTATATAAAGGACATTACTAGAATATTTGGGGAAAAACTGAATGAGATCCATAATAAGCTAATTGTTGTATCTGTGTTAATTTCCTGACAACCTACTTTTTAAATTGAGAAAAAGAAAAATAGAATTTTTGGTACATAGTTCTGTAAGCATACAGTATGCAACACTACCATAATGAGGATGTAAAAACAGTTATATCATTCTCAAATTTCCCTTCCTTTACAGTCAACCTCTTGCTCTAGTACTCACTGATTTTTTTGGCTCAATAATTTTATCTTTCCCAAAATATCACAGGATGGAATCATATAGTATATATATTTTTGAGTCTTTTTTTCATTTGACCTACTACATTTGAGTCATTCACATTATTGCATATATCACTAGTTCTTTCTTTTCTATTGTCAAGTAATATCATTGTATGAATGTACCACCACTTGTTTTTGCATTCAATTTCTGGATTCTGATCATTTTTACTGTGGTTATTAAAGAATTTTTTTTTTAA